AACAACGACTATATACTCTTCACTTAAGCAATAAATTTCAAAGCATTTCGAAAATAAATAAACATACATCGAAACATCCTCTGAACAATATCATAATATTCGAAACATTTGATTTTATTAAATTACTAATATCTACACTTCAAGCATCGCCCATCCCCAATCCACCTTGACAACAATGATGAACAATGAGAAATCAAAGCGAAGAAGAACGTGGTAGCAAAAATGGAGGAAAGGAAGGAGAAGAATTAGAAAAAGAAGAGGAGCGGACGGGCCACCAGACGAAAAAATTCGGAATATTTATGCTCGGTATTATTAGCGTACGTCGGCGATATCTCGGTGGGCATCGCTAATTAGGCCGCGCGAACGGCGCTCTCGGGCCTTTCGGCAAACAGTGGTGGCTACTGTCTTTAAAGGTTCTCCACGGGTGTAATCAAGATGGTGGCGCCGGCCGCCCGGGGCGGGTCGATTCCGAAACTAATTGCCACGGCTAATTTATTCCCGCGACATGTACGCACAGAGACGCCATTCTCGGCTACCGCGTAATCGTCGCGACGTAATCGAGAGTGCCACCAGTTGGACACACTGAGGAAGAAGGGGGGACGTGTTCACCCCTCGAAGATTCTCATCTAATTCTCGTGCCTCCGTGAGTAGTAAGTCCATGATGCTTCGAGCTGTTTTCAACTGTTGGAGGAATTGTTTGTTTGTTTGGTTTCTGGGTGGGTGTGATGAAGTGTTGTGAAGTTGAATTGATTGGAATTTAAATGTTAATGGTGGAATTGGGATGAAATTTTTTGTGCAGGTACTACTACTTTATAAGAAAATTTACCCGGTTAAAAATTGTAATTTTATTGGAAATTTTTGTGTATGAATATAATTGATTATGTACGTGTTATTAAATTTCTTTGAGATTAAATTAAAGTTAAAATTTTGGATGTTGAATGTTAATTTCACCTGTTTAAAATTTATCTAAAAGATTATAATTCTTTTTATATTTTTTACTACGAAATATTCATTTCAAAATAATCCAAATCTCAATATATAAAATGATATTAAAATATATATTTATGCAACTATTTTTCAAGAAAAAGTTTATTTTCAAAATCTTGATAAAAATACTCACTTCTATTTATCTATTTTCAAAAACCAATTTCTATTTAATCAAATATAATCTTACTTAGTTGTTAAATAGACCAATGAATAAAAATGAAAGCAGTAACAAGTTTAAAAACATTTAAAAATTAATTTCCAAGAACATCAATTATGTTAAAAGTAAAATTAGAAGCATGTAAGCTTACTTTTTTACCAGCAATATAATATATGCAAGGTACAATCAAAGTCGAATATTTCTTCAAAATTCAATTACGAAATCTTCGAAGCAACGAATCTTCGAAGTAACACGGTATGCCTAGCTCGTAATTCTCAAAAAAAAAAAAAAAATCTTAATTAATTCGACGAGAATGTAAAAAAAAAAAAAAGAAAAGAATCCAATGAAGGCTCGGATAAAGGTTTCGATAAACAGTCTAATCAGCAGAAACATCTCTCTTCGGCAAGATTGGGAACATTGGAAACGGGTACACGCGTGATTTCGTGAAATATGACTCACGCCACCAACCGAGGAGGCGCGGAAGGAGATACTCGGTGTGAATTGGGAGGATTGTAGTTGATTAGTGGCAGCCGATGATTGCCGAACTTGTTAGAGAAGAAAGTTCCTCCAACTCCTTCTCGTTTCGTTGCTTCACCGTTGCTCAAATGAGTTTCATATCGATTGAATACCTTTAATTTGCCTCGAGACGAATAACGAATCACGTTCGATCGATCAAGACAAGTTTGAATTGATCTTGGCGATATTTTCTTCATGAATCTCGAAAAAATAAAATTGGCAACTGCTCATATTATATGCTTGTTATATATAATATAAATAGTACTTCGTTTATATCAATTCTATTTTAATCAATGAAATTATTCGAATTAATCCTATCAGTCCAATTATGTGAACATCTGTTACAAATAAAAAGATGTAATAGATGTAATAAATACAGGTTAGAAGTGCGAATATTTGAAGATAAAACTCTCAAGAATTTAACTTTAAAATAAATTTCTACGTAACGAAAAGTAAATGGTAATTATTTATTATCTTGATGATGATTTTTTAACACGTTGTCAAAATCATCCTAAATTGTTTTGTGAAAATTTTACTTGTTCAACTTTTGTTCATTAAAAACAATTTATTAACAAAAATATTTCTCCTTAAATTTTCATTCAATCTTTATTCGAGGTAAAATGTAATTTAGAATTGGCATAAATCGATGCGAAATTTATTTAATTTCTGTTAGTTCGTAACTTTCATATTTATTAACAACATATTAAAAAAAAAAGAAAATCATCGAAAGAAAAAAATATCCT